TTTTTAATTTAGTTGTATATTTATTTATTTTTTTGTGTGTTATTTTGTGAGAGATTATAGAACTGCGTGGTCGTGAAGCAAAGGACTTGGGAATTTGTTTTACACCAAGTTTGTGTATAGTGTGGTACACTGCTCAGCTTGAAGTGGAAAACCATAAAATTTTTAATTATGAGTTGTATTTATAAAATGCTACATATGGAGAATCAATCTTTGTCATTTATTATGTTTTTTACTTTTGTTTTTCTTTCTTTTATTTTTTGGTTTTACAACTCAATTATTTGTGCACTTTATTGTAAATTTACATAATTTTTATTATTAACAAATAATAAGAAAAAAAAAATGTTGGGGACACACGAATAGAATTTAGAGTTATTCTTGGTAATTGTCATTTTGAAAAATAAGAACTGAATTTTAGTATACTTAAGATAATAATATTGTATATTTTCAGCATGCATGTTTGTTTAATTATAACCTATTGTGAATGAGACAGTCCAGAGAAAAAGTTGCAAACTAACATGTTATTTAATCCTCATTGATCATTTTCAAAAGGCTGAAAATGAAACATCGGAGCAAGTAATTAATTTGTACGTAACGAACTGTACCGTTGAAAGCAAAAACTTAAATTATTATTAAGCCTAACAATATGTCAAACCAATAGCTAGCATAAAATTAATTCAACAGTCAAAGCCCATATTAGTTGGGGATTGAATTAATGTATTATTTTTTATATTCCTTGACTCTGGCCAAGACAATCAAGAATCAACAGTATTTTCCACAATTTACATACATTATATTCCTTTTTCTTTTTTTTTTCCTCCATGCGAAAGTAAATGAGTTGAGTCGAGTACATGCCTAACTCATAATACTAGAGCTCTAACTCGACTCATTAATCAATATTGACAAGTCAGGCTATAGAAAATCACATATATAACAGTTTCTATATTCTTGAAGCTTTTAACAGCTCGTTAACTAAACAAGCTCGAGTCTGACAGGTTTAACTAAAAAGCTCGAGCCTTAACGGATCAAGCTGTTCCGAGTTTACAAGTGGCTCGATTCGTTTAATTGCTATAATTATATCCCACAAGTTGCTCTAAATTTTTTTATTTAGGGGGAAAAAAGTCAAGTGGATAATTAATGAAATTGTGCTTAACCTATCTTATGAAAACAATTTGTGACTAGTGAGTCACATGGATGGGGTCCAAAGCATGCAGACACGAGCACTGGTTTTTTTAAATGCTTTGTACCCTGGACTGCATATAATTCAATTAGTTCACTTTTATTATAAATAACATTTTTATTTTTATTTTTATTATGCAGAATAACTTTAGGATTTATTTGGTGTGTATTTAAGGCAATATACTGTTTTGAGGTTCCAAAGAAGGCGACGTCCAACAAATCACTAAATCAGCACGTGAGTATTTGTGTGTGTACGCATGTTCAATTTAGGGGTTTCTAATTTTATTTTTGAGTTGCTAATTAAAACATCAGATATATCATAGTTATTCAATCATTTTTTATGATTAAGAGTTATTATAAGTTTTTTTTCTACATCTTTTAAAACATTAAATATGAGCATGTTAGACCTAGCTTGTAAAATAATTAATATATTATTTCACTAAAATATTTATACTAGTAAAAATTTTATTTTAGCATATAAATTTATCCCTTGATATAAGAGAAAATAACAGTTTTACTTATTGTTGTTCACCATATAATATTTAATTATTATTTTATTATATAATAAAAAAGAAATATTGTTAAATAGTGTAGTAGAATTGTTATAAAATTATATGATTTTTTTTTTACAATATGGATTTAATATTTTTTTATGATTTGATAATATAAACAAATCTATACTTAACTTTGACAAATAAAACAAATAAATACTTTAGTAAGTATTTAATGTATATACTAAATAGGAATATATTTGGTATAATCAAATACCAAATATAATCAAATAAGTCAAAGTGTACATTTTTATTTGGTATTTGATTTTTTTATTATTAAAATATTTTTATTATACTTATCTTTTTAAAATAAAACAAATAAATAAATCAATTAAATAAATAAAATATTATAATACCAAAATAGTAATGGCATTTAATACAGTTGACTTTTCTGGATAGTAAATGTAGTAAATAGAATCTCCTTTTATATAAGTATAGATTGTATAATACGGAAATAGTAATGCAATAAATGTTGTTGACTTTTCTTTATACTAAATCTGATAAATGGTATACCTTTTAATATAAGTATAGATTTGGTACTATGCGATTTTCAAGTAATTGCACATTGTTTTAGGACCACGCGTGACAATTGACAAGCCTCTTCTATATGTTGTACCTGATTTTAGCTTCTTATCATTAAAATTGTTTAAATTCAGCCAACATGTTGCCTGAAATTATATATCCCAAGCACAATGCATAATCAAATCATATAAATTATCACCATAATAATGTGTTATGTAACATTTAGGTTGATTTGATTATTAGATCCATATTCTCTTTACAAATATGCATATTTATTTTAAAATATACCATACATAAAATAATATAAGAATGGATAATTTCTTATGATGTAAGTATATATATTTTTTACATAAATGTGTTGTTAGATAGATATAAATGTTAGCTAGGCAGTAATATTTTTTCAATTGATATGCATATATTTAAATTGAAATGTCATATTATAATGATATAAAAATAAATATGCATTTTGTTTAAAAAAAAAAATATGGATTTGGTTCATCTCCAACAAAGCACAATTTTGCATTTCCTTTTGTTTTTTCCTTCTATTTGTTAAAAAGAATGGACCAGAAAACTTTAACCACAACCACCAAATTAGAGACATAGAGCTCTCTTTAACACGCGTACAGTTTGGTGTGCCAAGCCCCAAACTCTAGATCCTACTCTACTTCTTTTTTTAACGGAACTTTGGTTAGGCCACATATAAAACATTTTAGCATTTAAAAGCAATATTCTTGCTATTTTGTTTCAATAAAAGAAAAATGAAAAGTATAGTTTTGGATATTTAAAAAGAGAACATAAAAAAAAAAATCGAATCCACTTGGAGATTTCCAATCTATATGCATACTTTCAATCTAATCTAAAAGTATAACATTTTAAAAAACTAACATAAACAACAGAAATTCTATGGCGCCCATATGGGTACCATATGGTGCCATAATCTCACGATCCAACGCCTAATATCCATTCTATCAATTCTACAATGAATATTAGACGTTAGATCGTGAAGATTATGGCACCATATGGTACAGAGTATGCATTTTTTAATATTAGGATCGATCGCCTAACTGTTACACTTTTGACAAAGCAGAGTCAATTCACATAAAATTGAGAACCAATTCTTATTAGATAGGTTTGGCACTGTAATCCAAAACCACACAGTCGATTCGCGAAGGGTCACACTTTTAATATACACGTACACGTTATGCACAAAGAGACTGATAAGTTTATCTTCCTAAAAAATAAAAATTACTAGATATTCTTATCTATATCTATATATATATAAAAAGGTTGTTGTTAAAATACCTTTTTAGAAACTTTTGACCAAAAAATAAAAAACTTTGACAATCTAAATATAGAAACCATATTTACTGCATTTATAATACACGAAATTTTAAAAAAGTCATACTTCAATTCAAAAATTTGTTTATTAGAGATATTATTGGGATTGTGGATAAGTCACAATTGGATCCATAATTATAATTACATGATTAATTCAAAAATTATTTGATTAGAGATATTATAGGGATATGTGGATAAGTCACAATTGGATCCATGATTATTATTAGAGATATTATTGGGATTGTGGATAAGTCACAATTGGATCCATAATTATCATTACATGATTAATTCAAAAATTAATTGATTAGAGATATTATAGGGATATGTGGATAAGTCACAATTGGATCCATAATTATTATTATTACATAATTATGCGAATCTTTAGTTCAAAAACGGTTGTTTGGTATAAAATCATATGCACTACCACTACTCAACAATTCACGTCATTCACAGTTTAGAAAAAAAAAAAAAAAAGTTCACGTCATTCACAATTCACAGAAAAGAAAAAAACGAGATAAATTTTACAGAGAAAAAAAAAGATAAATTTCAGAACACATTGATAATAAATGCCGCCAGTCTGGGATACACTCGATTCCGTGAGTAGGAGAAACAAGCCTTTTTTGTACTTGAAAGCAATCCTAATAGTTGAAACGCATCACCAACGGGAGTTGGAACGCATTCCATATACTGTTTCATGATGAACAGGTAAATATTTATATTTGTAATATCAAATTTATGTAATTTTAAAAAATATTTTAATTCATATTTATAAATTTATACTGTAGGGTACATTCATTAAAAGGATAATACGTTCCAAACATATGGGAGCATTTCGAGGTGTACGGAACGAAGGCGAGGTGTATGCGATCAGCAACTATGTCGTTGAATTTAATAACGGGAAGAAGGATATCATAACCAACATATGGAAACTTGTGCTTCATGGAAGAACTCATGTTATCAAATATGGTGAGATTTTTCCTCAAAATGTTGATATTTTCCCTCAACATTAGCAAGGAGCATGAGATATTTATGATATTTAGAGTTTGATTATTATGAATTTTAATTTCATTCCATGTCGTTGAATTCTGAATTCTATAATAAATTTTAGTGTTATTATATTTGTTGTCGTTATAAAATGTCGTTGGATATTTTTTTTTTAATTAAATGTCGCATGAATGTGAAAATTTGAACATTTTATTTTTGAGTTCTACTGTATATTAGTTTAAAATTGGTAGAATGCCATGATACAAGATAGAAATTAATACAAATTTTAACAGATATTTCAAATATAAGATTATATGAAAAAAATTACGGAATTAACAATAACTGAATTAAGTACATTTAATAGATTATATTGCGTGATTTTTCAGTAATTTATCATAATGAATTATATTCATCAATATGAATATGAATTTTGATTATAATATTTATATTAATTTGTGTTATATATAAATTATTATTATTAAAATTTTTACGTAAAAAGATGGAAAGATTTGTTTGACGTAAAATTTTGACGTAAAATATTATAATATTTGTTTGACGTAAAAAATTTTTCAACATTTTTTTTTTTATCACATTGTATGGACAAAAATTTAATTGAAAGATGTTAATTATGTAACGATGCTATCACACAAGAATCTCCACTTCTTAACTACTTTGCACTTATCTTATCACCATACATGATAAGGTTGAAAATTACAATTTGATTTCAAAATTGTTTTAGGTTTTTATTGACCGAGTATCACTCTTTGAATTCCATTTGAATTCAAAATTGGTGTATTTTTTATTTGAACAAAAAAATTTACGGAATTAACAATAACTAAATCAAGTACATTTAATGGATTATATTGCGTGATTTTTCAATAATTTATCATAATGAATTATATTCATAAATATGAATTTGATTATAATATTTATTTTAATTTGTGTTATATATAAATTATTATTATTAAAATCTTGACGTAAAAAGATGGAAAGATTTGTTTGAATTAAAATTTTGACGTACAAAATTTTTGACGTAATTATATTATTTGTTTGATGTAAGAAAATTTTCAAGAATTTTTTTTTATTACGTTGGTATGGACCAAAATTTAATGGAAAGATTGATGGTGATGGTAATTATGTAATGATGCTATCACACAAAAATCTCTACTTCTTAACTACTTTCCACTTATCTTATCATCATAAAAGTTTCGGTCCATACCAACGTGATAATCATTTGTGTTTGGATTGACTGAAATATATTCCATTTGAATTCAATGTCATTCATTTAAAAAATATAACAAATGCAGAGTACTACGGTGGATAAATCTAGAGTTAACAATCTGATAAATCACGTTTTACTTATCTTATCATGATATTAGAGTTTGAATTTATTGGAACTCTGAAATTAAAATCACGTGCAATGAATCTTATCAAGAGAGATTAACGTGAGTCTAACTAATCTTATCATCTAATGGTTATCTACTTTCATCCCATGGCTATAAAATAAACGTCGAAGCCTATATCACGTATCACAAAAATCTCACACTACAATTTCACATTCAAACAGAAAAATGGCGAGAGCATGGGGAAACATCAACCAAGTAACAAGGATCAACAGGCCAATGCTCAAGTTGAGGGTGGTTCGAGTTTTCCAAAGGACTAATCAATACTCATCCTACAAGATCATCCTTGAAATTGTCTTTCATGACATTGAGGTTTAATTCATAATAAAAAAATAATGATTATCCATTTTTCTCATCATGTTAATTATAATATCTAATATCTAATATTATTTTTTTTTTCAGGGAGGTCGAATTACTGGAATAGTAAAGCAATCAACATCCCAACTTTCATCAATGAATTCGAAGAAGGTGTTGTCTATGCATTTCGAAACTATCAAGTCCAGAGTAATATCGGAATGTATAGATCCACCATTGATAATTCGTGCTTCTCTAATAATACGGGATGAAGCACCAATGATGCATAACCATTGTTTCGAAGCTGTACAGACATCGTTGCAGGGTATTATGGAAGCCATTGATCCTTTGAACTTGAACAAACCGTTTGGTGGGAAGCCGGTTGTTTTTTGTGGAGATTTTCGACAAATCCTTCCTGTCATTCTAAAGGGTAGCCGTCAGGACATAATAAATGCTGCCATTAATTCTTCTGACATATGGAGGAGTTGTACTGTGCTTAGGCTTACGAAAAAATGCGCCTTCAGGGACTTGCTAATTCGGATGAATGTGATGAGCTTGCATGGTTTGCAGATTGGATAGCCAACGGAGATGGAACTATCAGAGGGTTGAATGATGGATGTGCACCTACAGACATACCCGAGGACATTTTGCTTCAGCCATCTGATGATCCTATTGCTCAGATAGTTGAAAGCACATGTCCAATGTATGAAGAGACACCCGACGATCCAAGTTATTTGAAGGATATGGCTATATTAGCGCCTACGTTGGATGTGGTCGAGTCTATCAATCAGTACATGACATCATTAAATTTGTTGGATGATCGTATGTACTTGAGCTCTGACAGTACGTGCAAATCGGATTCTAATAATGATTTTTTGTCTGATCTCCATACGCCTGAGTTTTTGAATAGTATCAAGTGTTCTGGAATACCGAACCATGAGTTGTATTTGAAGATTGGAACTCCAGTCATGTTGTTGCGGAACATGGATCATTCTATGGGTTTGTGTAATGGGACACGATTGGTAGTGACAAAGCTATCGACTCACGTTCTTGAGTGTAAGATACTCACATGAGATCATGCTGGTGATAAGGTGTTGATTCCAAAAATGGCCATAACTCCTTCTGATGTTAGAATTCCTTTCAAGTTCCAGCGGCGACAGTTTCCTATTATGGTTTCTTACGCCATGACTATAAACAAGAGCCAGGGACAATCCTGATCTCATGTTGGCTTATTTCTTAAAAAACCAGTGTTCAGTCATGGCCAGTTATATGTTGTTGTTTCCCGTGTCACTAAACGAAAAGGTTTGAAAATCTTAATTTGTGGCGAAGATGACGTGCCAAAGAATCAAACCAATAATGTTGTATATATGGAAGTGTTCAATAATATGTGATTTTTTCAATTTAATGATATGTTTATATGTCTATTATTATGATCATGATCATTGCCTGCATAATACAATTTATATACAAAATTGTTTTTTAAAAACATTCTAGATAATAATATCCCCGTGCATCGCACGGGTGACTACTAGTTATGGGATAATCTGATGTCTCTCCTAAACTAGGGGAAGAAT